GTTGGTATTAATCTAGAGAGCCCTTGCCTTTCTCATGGCCAACTTAATGTAGCATGCTGAGGAGTTGGAACTGGAAAGAATTTGTTTATTTTAGCCCCTGATGCGAAAAACAAGAAGGTTCTGTATCAAAAAGTGTCGCAATCAACGTTGTATTTCGGTAAACGGTCTTTTGTAATAAAAGAAGTCGATCAAACAAAAAGAACACTGAAAAGGATATAAATTCTTTTAAAAATTAAAAATGGGGAAAACATCAGGTGAAAAGGGAAAGTGATCTGAACATATTTTGCGATATCGAATTCCAATAATTGATAGGAGATCATAGTGACGTCTTTTTCTAATATGTCAAGTATATATTATAAAATTATCACGACTACCATCGGGTGCCTCCGCTAGTAAAGGAATATAATAAAATAATATTTTATACATCTAATATAAATCTTTTTTTTATTTCTTTTTTTTATCTTAAATCAAAAAGAAATATAAAACAAACAAAAACAAAATTATAAACACAATCATATGGTTCTATGTCTATATATTTTTCATATAAAATAATAATAATAAACATATGTGTTGAAAAACATTAATATTTTTCAACTTTAATTTTGTTTTCATAAACTAGGAGAAAATGTATTCCAATACGTTTTAATAAACATATTTGATGATCATTTAAATTATTTCTAAATAAAAAAAATAAAACCATTTTCTTATTTTATTTTTTCAAAGAAAAAAAAGAATAACTTACGAACAAATAATCAATTCATCGTTATTTTTCGATTTTCTTGTACCATGTACTGATTCGGATAATACCGCATAAGCATGTTCAAATTTATTTATCAATTCACTTGATTTGTTTTGTTTCTCATCATCAGATAAATTGTCTATTTCAATATGAATACACATGAACGTATCTTTAACCTCCTGGATACCGACAATTCTTACGTTCTTTACGATCTTATAGAAAAATCGAAAAATCACTCTCTCTTGCGTTCTATCTTCGTGAATCAGGGTGTGGGTGTGGGTGTGGGTGGGTGTGGGTGTGGGTGTGGGT